ACCAAATGCCCTCAGTGCTACCACTGACCTGCCCAACAGCCACTGTAGGAACTGAAAAGAAGACGGGGTGCTTGAAGATCATTTCATAATGAGCGAGTATGTGTGTATGAAACAAAACCACCGCTATCAAGGCAAAGCCTTCAGAAAAAGAGGTTCAGTTCCTCCCAGCAGACCACTGCAAAGCCAGCCCAAGGACTTCTCCTAACCCCCACGTCGTGTGAATGCTTCTGGACACCTCCCATCTCCCAGCACCAGGCTGGGCTGGGGAGCCTGCTGCTGGGGCAGCACTCGCAGCAACAGCGGCTGAGGTTGGGCCAGATCTACCCCACTCCTCTCCTCCCCACAAGGCCATCTAAAACTACAACAGCAAAACAGTCCCTGTCCTTACTGAGGATGTAAAAAGGAAGACATGAAGGCCTTCATAAAACAGTGAACAACAACAAAAATGTAGCTCGGAAACTGAATGTTTTTCCTTGAAATATTTCATTTCAATACCATATTATTAATTTGAATGTTTAACCTCAAAGTTATTGCAAACCCGTAAGAGTTTTCCAATATCAGCTGTTTTGATGCAAAGTTAAACTTATGCAAAACTTTATTCTACCTCCTTTAGAAATAGGAAATTCATTAAGCAAAGCCCTAAAGACTTCTGGTTTGGGTCCTATTATCTTTTTCAGGAAAACACATTCCATGAAATTATTTCCAGCCAATGCTAATTACGCTACAGCTTGTACCACAATAACACAACTACTCCTGTATCCATCCCAGAAGCCAGCTGTTATGTGGGAAAGAACAGAAGATAAAGAGAATTTTTGCCTCCTTTACTACAAAGTAAAGCAACCACAACATTAGATCAATCAGTGATTTTAAAGAAAAAAAGTATTTCTACCGGTGTTACTACATCAGCACATACCTCTTCACGTGTCTTGCAACTGTAAGACCAACTTCCAAGCCATTGACTGATTTATTTTACTTTTTCCCCAAAACGTTATAGGGCGAAGCACATTGCTGCGGTTTGCTAAGCTGGAGTTCTCTGTACCATGACCAATGCATGTTCTCAAAACAAAGGCCATCTTCTCAGAGCCTATTTTTTCCTCTTCCTGCATGAGGCCAGGTATGTTCAAGTGTACCTGCTTCTGATCAAAAGATCTCAGCTGAGGCAGGTACGTGAAAAGAGCCTGACTGATTTTCTGTGTTAATACCAGGTTCTGATTGTACAATTTGGCAGAGATGGAAGCAGTATTAATATGAAGAACTTGTTCCTTTTCTCAGAAATCTTTGACATATATACATATTTCCTTAAAAATTATCCTTCAAAGGAAAGTGCTAAGAAGAATAGTGCACAGTGTGTGAAGAACTGAAGAGAAGAGTAGCACACTGGGTTAAATTTGGTCTCTGCTATTCTTGAAAAGGAATAAATCCTTCATATGATGCAGTTTCAAATGCAACCACAGACTTGTTACCCAGACTGGCCCTGAGACACTCTATATTACAGTAACAGAAATGCTTTACATTGCTTGTTATCATAGTAACATGCAGAATACTTGAGCTTTTTTCAATCTGAATTCAAGAGAGAAACTTACAGAAATCCTAAATCAATGACTTTTTTTTTTTAACTAAAAAACAAATTGAACATTCAATGCTACCTTTTCTCAGAAAGAAACAGACATTACAGTTAAAAGAATGCAACAGAGTTACAAAAAGTACCGTAATTGCTTCATTTGAAAAGTATTTGATGATCCCTAGATGAAAGGTACTATTTAATATTATGACAAATCATAGCAAGGAACAATGGTTATAGAACCTCATTAAATGTAAATGAAGCCTAACCTTTGATAGGGAAAAAAAAAAAAAAAAAAAAAGATTTTCCAAGCCTGTAGTTTCCTCACAATTTCTATTTTCACATGCTAAAATAGGTGAAAACTGCAAACTGTATTTCAGCATGTTCGCTAGCACCAGTACCATAGGTGATTGCACTTAATTCCTTCTTATCTGTCTACATTACCACAACAGTGAATTATCATGTTGCATCAGGAAGCCCAGCTATCATCCTAAGTAGGCAGATGTAATAAAAATGTTTTTCTACCATTCTGTCATACAAAATCCCATTTAAAAGGACAAACGTGTTTAGCGTACTGCTGGATGCTGCCAGTTGGTGTCCCAGAACTCATTGTTCCCACAATCGACATTTTGTGGAGAACAATATTTGAATTTGTGTTTGTCTATTTGAATTTCCACCGGTTCGTGGCAAATGAGGGGAGGTGTGGTGTCTGTATATATCGTAGTCAGTGAGACAGGTTGGTATGGCTGCGCTTCTGGTAGCCTGTTCCAGGATTTGGGTGCACTTAGCCACTAGATGGTGCAATGAAATAAAAATAAGGGACTGAAACTTCAGTGCTTAACGTTTGATAGCATGGCAAAGCCTGTTCCAAGTATTGTAGTACGCATTGTAGCTGATGAACATAATAAACATCATGTAATTATGAACTGCCATACTGTAATTGCTGAGTTATTCTGAAAACACTGTGGTAAGAATAAATCAAGTTCTAATGCTCCTTCAGTGTGAACACCACAAAGGCTGCTTTTGCCCATTCGAGGACCTCACACAGTGAACTCTTTGGGCCTAACCTTTCAGTACTAAAAGGCAGCTCTCTAACAGAAAACAGCAAAGTACTTCTAAGGCACTGCACCTCCACAAGAAGCAGCACATCTGGAAGGGCTGCCAGCTGACGCCTGGCACACATACTGCCTGCACCTTCCACATACAGCACTCAGGTGTGGCTCAAGGCACAACAGTGGGGATGTGAAAAACATCCCTAACTCTGTTCCTGGCATATAAATTAAGCCACTTGGTCAGAGCTTCTCCATCTGCCTCCTCGGGTGTAGGCAAACTGAAAAGCATCCACCAAATATTTACAAGAATATATCTGGATGTGTATTTGCTTTGTAAAGTATCCCAGTCGGCATCAGTTTTTATTGTGCTGACAACTAGTACATGAGAAAAACAGGCCCTTTGGCATCCCTTTAATGAAAAGTGAGAATACATTTTATGTTACTGCTCTCTGATGCTGCTCAGTACGCCTTCCCTATCTGTGCACGCATCGGCTAGAAGCACGGGACTCACAAAAGTAAGCACCTTAAAGCTGCACCAAGTTACTTACTGCACCAAGTAATTTAAAAGGCAGTATGGAATTCAGAGGGGATAACTGGAGGCCCATTCTGGCACTGCTGCCCACGGTGAATAACAACTCTTCTCTCACAGACCATTCAATTCATGGGTGTCACTTCTTGGACTTTGTAACCTATTGTAACTTGTAACTTGTAAAACACTTTCATTACATAGTTCTGAAACATACATCTCTTAAACCTCCACAGTAACGCAGTCAGCTCTCAGAGCTGGCTTTGCAGCTCTGGCACCTGTGGAAAACATGCTCTGGTTTTACACTTACCAGGGGTGCGACTCCCAGCAGCACCACACAGCTTCACAGGAACCTGGGAGCTGCTCCAGGCTAAGCACAGCACCATCCTGCATACCTCCCCCAGCCTGGCATCAAGTTCCTGATGCAAATCAAAGTATGATCTTTCCAATCCATACCAGCTGAGGAAGTGACAGCTGTATCTACTTGCAAACTCCTCCCAAGATAACAGCCAGAATGTGGACATGTGAAGCCTTGGCACCTCTAGTTCCTTGTTTTCCTTTCCTGATTGAACGTAGTTACACAAACCCCTTTACCTACTTCTTTTTAGGTTGTTTCCTTACATTCTCAAAATTCACCAGGAGATACCTGGCAAATATTGGCCCATTCTGACATGCAATCCCTACTCCTGTTGTCTGTGCTGCAGAGCTCCAGGGCAACAGAGATCTCAGTCATTCTCAAAAGACGACCCGGCTCTAAAGGTCGCTTCCCTTCCAGCTGAGTGTATTGCAGACGCTTCCCCCAACACACCGTTTGCCACTAGAGGGCACTCAAACCAAGCTGTCAATGACAGTAAAGCGCTTTATAAACGTGGAGGGTTATACGAGGCCCAGAAAGAGTTCCTCCGGCACCTAGTAAACGTGTACTGCATATCTAATTAACTTTGCTACTGTAAGGCAAACATCAATTTTATTTAGAAGTTTCCAACATATGGAGAGCCAACCCTGGTCCAGTCTAATGTTCTGTAAGTCTAGAAGAGGCTGTAGGTAGTATAAAACAGCTTTTTTTTTTTTTTTTTTTTTTTTTTTTTAAATAACTTGCTGGAAAACAAGAACTGAATCTTTCTACTCATTGTCATGTAACAGATTCAGTCTTACTACAATAGATCAGCAGTGCTTCATCCTGCCCTTGGGCAAAAGCTAAAACATGGGGAAAGCAAAGATTCCTTTCAAAGTCCGGATGACATTTGACTTCTGCTCGCTACATAAACAAGCAGCTTATTAGTAAGACAGTAGGGTAGATAGATTACCTGCCAGTCCTACAGAAGTGGGAGTGACCAGCTCCCTGCGGTTTAGTAACATAAACACTAGTTGCCCAGTGGGCTGGAAACATTAAGTAGGCTGACTCTTATTTCTTAAGGAGGGAGGGGGTAAAAAGGGAAAGAAAAAAGCGTGTTTCTCCAGAAAGTGATTTTCTAAGAAGTAGAAAGTACATTTGGAAGCTCAAACGCACACATTAGTAAAAAGGAGAACACCATAACATACACTGAAATTAAACTGGTAAAAGCACATCTGAAAAGCTCAAAACCGGTATCGCTGTTATCCAGCTGGCTTTCTCTTGGTTTATTTTGAAGGGGGACCCACTGCCTTTTTTTTTTAAATTTATTTATACAGTCTACACACAGAACTGGGAAGTGTTCAGTCATTGCTGCTTTTCAATACTGCAAATTTTGACATGACACCTTTATAAAAATATGGGGCCGAGAAGGAAACCACTGAAATTGCAGTGACAATTTTTCTAAAGTGAATTATGATGCCCTTGGGTGCATCTAAAGTGAGTTATTTTCTAAGTGAGGTACCTTACCTTGGTAGAGCAAACTTGTTTCTCAGCAGCATATCACTCAAGTGCCAGTGTTGATCAAAACATCAGTATATGACAAAACCTGTGTGTGACTTGAGAATGCATTCTGTGTTTTCAGGCCTTATCCAGAGAATCCAGTTCCCTAGGAAGGAAAACAAAAAGCTTTTTGAATAAAAAAAAATACACAGGACACATACGGTTGTTTTATCTATAGAAATATTTTATACATTCTGTAAAAATACTCCATATAGTCATTAATGTTTATCAAATCAATTTAATTTATTTTAAAAGCTCAATCAACACAAAGCATTGTTAAAATTCCTATCTTTCTAAATTATTAAAATGCAAATAACTTCTTAAAATCCCATTTGTGTTTTGCCATATGCTTTGTAGTTGTACTGTTCAGCCTCACTGAATTCCAAAATTAGACTGGTCAGTTTTACTTGCTGGCCTCTAACACCAGCAAAACCAGGCTCAGCAAATGAATAATCAACACTACAGAAGAATGGTTAATTGAAAATGAAAATTAATTCCAACTTTTCATGGCTTAGTTTATTTGGCTTGTCATTTGAAGAAAATCTGTTCATTTAATTGCCAATGCAAAATTTGACTGTCGCTACAGCAGTATTTTTTTCTGAGAAGACCCAGCTTCTAGAATAAAAGGACCATATGAGGCTCTGTTTTCAGCTGATGTTGTTTTCAAGGCATTTAAGCATCAATATTTTTGAAAAGCATAAAAACATGCATTGTGAACACTTAAAACCTGGAAACAAGTTATGAGATACAAACCCTTATTGCTTTCAAAATCCTATGATTTTTGATGGCCAAGTCACCATTTGTGGATACTCTGGGTTGGCAACATAGACTCCACCACAATGTTTTTTGCTCCTGAGCAATTCATCCCAGACCCGCACACTGAATGCGTGAGACACGATCAAATTTAGGGGCAGAATAACTTTCTTAGAGACCTCTAAATGGCTGTTCAGTATCTAACTTAAAGAAGCTTCGCTTTCTGGTAGCACTTCGTTATAGTCGGGAGTAGATTTGTCTTTAGATTAACTTCTGCAAAACCTGCTGCCTACCTACATACCTTTCATCAAGCTCAAAAATAGTTTGATTCTATACATTCTGCCAGTGCCTCTTTAAGTAAGCATTGCCTGGTCACAAGTAAGAAACAGAGCAGTCACAGGCAAGATGGCAGTATGCTGATCTGATAAGGCTTCATTACAATAGGTAGCTCCATTTGATAACACAAAAAATTAATTCCATTTCTAAATTCAGTCATTCAAACCAAAAGAAAACAAACAAACAAAACAAAACAAAACAAAACAAAAAACACTAACCGTAAGGCTCAGGGGTGATGTGGAATATCAAAGAAATAAGACATTAGAATCATAGAATCATTTTGTGTGGACAAGACTTCTAAGATCATCTGGGCCAACCTCTAACATAGCACTGCCAAAACCACCATTAAACCATGCCCCTAAGCTCTACATCTACCTGGTTTTGAAGGCCTCTAGCGATGGTGACTCAGCCACCTCCCTGGGCCTGGGCAGCCTTTTTTTGTGGAAGCCAATTCTGTGTGGGAGTTTTACAGTTAGCAACTTGGCAGCTATCGAAGAGTAATGACAAAACATAAAATACCCAGTTTAAACTTCACTTTTTTGAAAACATCCTCATGGAGGAAATATTAACCATCTTCCCCAAGATTCCAACAGCCGCTTGGCCTCAGAGCCCCCACAAGCTTCCTACCAACCTCCCCTTCTTCATGTCCTTCTTGCCCGTAGCAGGGAGCTGAGAACAGGACCAGGGGACTCCTGGGCTGGGTGCCACCAGGGCCAGCAAGAACCACACAGAGGTGGGCAAGCTCAAAAGGAAGCAGCTCTTCTGGAAAGAGCACCTGAAGCCCCTGCAGAAAGCCTCTCCAGAAGGAAAGCCTGCGAGGCCGTAACCTGAGGGCGCATTGGAAGGCCTCTGGGTGTAACTCCCGGCCTCAGGGCCGCTCAGGCCGAGTCACCGCTCCCGTGGCCCTGACGCTCTGCAGGCAGGGTTACATCCAGAAACCAAGTATACAATATACTACTTTTTTCCACAGAATAATTCTGGAAGAGCTCTCTCAATAAACCTGCAACACAGGAGCACCCACAGGCTGTTACTTCCTTACATTTCTGCTGTGTCCCATCTCACAAGAGCGGGATCCTGTGAGGCCTAATGGCCGACCGGCCTGCTGCTGGCTGAGGAGGTGTTTCACCCAGCCAGCCAGGCTGGCACTTCTTCACACAGACGGGAACCACAGGCTGACTTATCATTAGCAAGTCCTTCACAGCACACCCCAGCTTTTCTATTTTAATTACAGATGCTGGAGCTGTGAGTGGAGGCAAGTGCTCTCACATCAGCGAGCGATGCCCTGAGGAGGTCTGGCAGTGAGCTGAGGGTGGCTGCAGCGGCCGCTTGGTGGGACTGAGACGGACGCAGAGGGCACGGCTTCAGCCTCATCACATGCAACCTCTGCCACAGACACTAAAGCCACAGCACTGAGCAGCCCCTCAGAGATTGGGATGGCCTTGAATAGATCTTTGCAATAAAAGCTGCTTCGGGCTAACAAAAACATCACTGCACACATTTAAGACATGTTGGTTTCTTGGCCAAAGGACACAAACAAGAAATTGCAATTCTAGACAAGACCCAGGCTGGTTTGTGCGCAGTTAGATCAGTCCAACTCTGAAATCTGAGTAGCAAATAGCAGGATTTGGGACTAAACACTTGCACTGAATTGTTTTTATGAACATGGCATTTAATGAAGGTTTCTTAAATATAACAAACAAACTAAGGTTAGTCCTATTTCCAGCAGATCTGCAGCATTGAGTATGTGTTTCTGTATAAAAGCAGATAGTTTTGGCGAAGCCTTATAAAGAAATTCTGACATCAACCTTAATAACCCCTAAGGTTATTACCAAATCATGCACATTCTCTTCCTGCCAAGAATCAGTTCTACTGTGCCCAAGTTTTTTCCTATGTTTCCTAAATTCAGAAGAATATTGTATAAGACACCATATAAACAACTGGTCAGGCAGACTTGGCTAGACGTGCATCAGAGATATCAGGATGTCACTGAGCTGCCTCAGTGTGGAACAGGCATTCCTGCAATTCTCACATCAGTATAATACTTTGCTCTTTCTGCTATTAACATTTCATCTATTTGTAATGCTTCTGATTTTCTGGTCATCCAAGACGCAAACAATTCTCCTGTCTCATCAGCAGTAGGAAATTCCAACTTTGTCTGAATATAACAGGTGACAGGACGAGGGGGAATGGGCTAAAGTTACGCCAGGGGAGTTTTAGGTTAGATGTTAGGAAGAATTTCTTTACTGAAAGGGTTGTGAGGCACTGGAACGGGCTGCCCAGGGAGGTGGTGGAGTCACCATCCCTGGAAGTCTTCAAAAGACGTTTAGATGTAGAGCTTAGGGATATGGTTTAGTGGGGACTGTTAGTGTTAGCTTAGAGGTTGGACTCGATGATCTTGAGGTCTCTTCCAACCTAGAAATTCTGTGATTCTGTGATAACCAACATCTGCATTTAAGTTAGTAATTTAAAATAAAATGCATGAGGCAGATACTGGAGGAACCCTAGACACATTTCTATCACACACACTGGTCACCATGATCTTTCTTCCTGCAAAACCTCTAGATCCCACCTCAGTCTTCATTCAGGTAAATTTACTACTTGAAACGAAGCAGGTTTTTGAAGTTATTTCCTACAATCTCGAAAGGAAAAACAAACAAACAAACAAAAAACAACAGAGATGAACAGTTGAAAATTTTAATCCAAAATTGAACCAGACTTTACCTGCAGTCCAAAATTGTTTAAACAATTACTCTTTAATTCCTCATCCTGGTTGTAGCTAACTCTGTGAGGAAGAGTACCAGTACAGGCTCCAGAAAACTAACAGATTACTCTGGAAGGTAGAAGATATTGGTGCATTTTGATGAAAAGTCCCAAATACTTATTATTACCCCTCCAGATCTGATATTTACCTATTACACCATGACTGCCTTTGCAGATACGTTTGTTATCTCATTATGGTTACTTCAGCTGAACTTGTAAATTACTAAATCCTTAACTTTTGGAAGGAAATCAAGAAAGAATAAAATTAATTTAGCAATATAAATACTGGCAGTAATAAAGGCTTCATGAAATGTTTGACCTCCTGATAAACTGTGCTGCCAAATGACTCAATTTCAGAGCAGTGATAGTAGAGTTTGATAAGTGAGGGATCGCATCTGTAACGTACCCATAGGTGAAATCATTTCTTCACTACATGTGGACTAAAGTCAGGCTTGGGAGAGAGAGAACAGTAGACTAAAAGGGATCAGTTGCTTATACTTTATGTATCTGCATCCAACCCATCATAGAACGCAGTGATTCTTCACAGGATATGACCCAAATGCTGACACACAAATCCAGCTGATATTATTCCTCAAAAATTTATCCTAAATCCCTACAGTACCTAGCTTTCTTATAAGGCTATCTTATCCATCGTGGTGGAATACAGAAGGATGCTTATGTGAAGTTCGTTCCATCTTTTATCTACTACAGGCTCTGCATCATGCTTGACAGCAGAAAGAGGTTAGAATTTCCTTAACAAGGAGGAAAATATATATGAGAAATAAAAATCAAAACAGCTGGGTTTTCCCCCATTTTTTCTATCGGATGCAAGTCAGGAAGCAACAGGAAAGGAGAAATCACAAGTTCAAGAGTATCAGGTACAAAGAATTAGGACATGGGACCAGTAAGTCTAGAGTTCATTTTTTCCTTCACATTTCTGGAACCAGTAGTTTTGCATTGCCCAGGAAGTCAAAAGCACTCCTTTCAAGTATGCAAATAGCACTTCCACATGGGAATCAAGTTCAGGAGAAACTTCGGTCCTAAAATGCAGTAGAGCACTGTGTGGGAACTCCGAAGCAATCTGGATCCCAACCTAGGTCTCCTTTGTGCCCAGATCCCTTTTATATCTCCTGGTGAACACAGTTACTATATGAATGCACATGGCAACCCCCATCAGGATGAATTTCTGGTCAGAAAGTCCCCTGTGGACCAGCAAGAGCAGCAGTGAGGTCAAACTTCCTCCTCCTTCCCAGATTA